GCGCCGAAAGCACTTGTGCTGCTGCTACTGATGACGACCGACCGAACACGATCAAAACCGGTGGTTGAATAAACACTGTTCGGCGAGACCGGATGGAATTCTATTTTGATATCTGTGAAAGCGCCTTTTGCTGGCAATCGTTGATAATTTTGCAACAGTTGAAAATTTGTATAATTTGCAATAGTGACCTATTGAAAATTAATGAAGTGCTTATTTTAGTAGATTCGTAGACAAATTTCGAATCGATTGGCTTTTTTAAAATTAAAATCCATCCGCTATTGACAGAGTTATAAATGGTCAAGACCTGACCACATTTTGTAACGCGGTCGATTTTTGGTTTTTTTAATTGCACCCTCAATATGTTGCCGAAAGACGTAATCCTACGTAAAATAAATAAGCTAAATACGTGCCAGGATTCAAATGAACATTTTGAAACTGGAAGCGTGTGTGTAATACTAATATACAATTGATAGAGGTAATACATACATGCGGGGATTATTGTAAATGATTATTCTGAAATGGGTTGCTGGATCTGCAATAGACCTATTACCTTCTAACTCCCGGACTAAAGCTGAGAGTTCTTCTATAATAACACTGCCGCCCAGTGGGAGTTAGAGGGAATACACACACATACAGTCACCCCCACTGAATAGTGACTAGTTGGCCCATAATACGGTGACTGCATTTCTTCAGTTTTGTGAATCACTGATTTTTTACCAAAGCTGCTGCTTCAAAACGTGATTTCATATAACACAGTTATAAAAAACGAACATTGCAAATTTAAGAATTTAAGTAGAAAATGTTTGAAATATCAGTGGTGCTCATATTGCCCGAATGAACTTAAGCAATATTTCGTTAAGAAAAACTTTAATGTTTATTGAAAACTAGAAAAACAAAACGTCGTGTCATATCAGAAACCAGTGACCACTTATAGCTGCTGAAGTAATATTAACGTTAAGTTATAAGAAACTACTGATAGACCTTATTTTCTGATTCAGAAATCTTATAACAGTTTGTACATTTGGAGTTAGTCTAACATTTTTCGAATATTCGCACTAGAGAAAATGAAATGGATAGCTCAAGTAGGCTTCAAGCAACAACAGATGTTTTGAAAAATATATTCAATAAGTTGATTTTTAAGTGGGATACATTGCCCCACTTTACGCTACCTACAACAGTACTGAGAGGGCTACACTGAACGAAAACATCCGCAATACTTCGAATTATCGTTGCATTGCTCAAGCCGTTTAACAATACGCCTTCGAATTTCGGATGATTGCCTTATGGTTGAATTCGTCATCAGCTGAAGAGCATCCATATGACTGTCATCCAAATAAAGGACGATATTTATTTGAAAATAGGCTGTAAAACATACAGCGCTCAGAGGGTAACAATTTAAGAATAGGATGACTTGCAAATGCTTTAAATTAGATCTACAATAATAACAATAATAATTCGATTGTTTACATTTTCATATTGAATAAACATGGACAGCCATTCATGAATTCAAAAATCGTTTGTTGGGAGATGAAACTTCCTCCATCACGAAATATATGTACAATCTTCGATTTCTACGCTTTACCAATATTCGTACCACCTCTGATAGCGATGAATATGTTCCCACCGACAATCGGATGTGCAGCTTAGATCACCAAATGACGTTCGATAGAATTATTTACATCATGGCTTTGCATGACTTGCATTATGGGGCTGAACCAATACCATAAGCATTTCAATTTGGCATGACAATTATTCTACGGAGAGCATTATGTATTTCAACTGAGGTCCGTTCGCTTCTAGTACCAATTTTCATCCGGTATTCTAGAGGAGCATCATCTGATTACAAAACAACCGTCATCCGGTTGCAGCTTTCAATGTTTCGATTTTAATAGTCTGAGGCTTCATTCGAAGAGATGATGATGTTTTGGTACAGTGTGGTAGTGGGTATGCGACAGGGGGTGTCAGATAAGAAAAATGCATTAAGACAGGATACATTGGCGAGCATTCTCTGAGATCTGTTTCGGAGATTTTGAAAACTGTCCCTTGAACTTGCACCGTGCGTATGTGCATATCTTTTTTTTTCCATTGATTTCTCGATTACTTTTTCGAAGGGACGTATCAGCTTTTGTAAACAATGCATTTGATCGTCGATTTGGCGTAACTGGTAGCTCACCCACGCATACTAATGTTCCCTATCTGCTTATAGTGTTAGTATGCGTGGGCGAGCTACTACTTACGCCAAATCGACGATCAAATGCGTTGTTTACAAAAGCTGATACGTCCCTTCGAAAAAGTTATCGAGATTTGTTTTCCTTCGATCTTGTTTTCCGTGCTGAGCACCAATGATACCGACGCCAGGCAGGCAGCTCCCACACCTGGACCTACCTATCGACCCATCATCAACTCATGAACCGGAGACCAACGGCTTTACTTCCCGTGATCAGGGATGTTATGCCTCAGAACATCCCGGCGCACAGTGGTTCAAAACCCCCCAAACGTGCGTTTTTTATTTTTCGGTATGAAAACGACAATTTAGAAGGATGGTGTCCTCAAAAGAGTTGCAGAGTTTTCAAAGGGCTATCGTTTGGTGCTAAGGTATTGCTGATCTATCTACCTAGAAGGGCAGGGCAAAATTAAAATTTTACAAACTTGCTCAAATCATGTTGGTGTCTTCAGCATGAATTGTTTGCACAGTACTTCTGTAATTTTTGACACCTCGGAATGAATTTCCGGCATAAGATCCGTATCGATACTATAAAATTCTATGACTTTATATGTAACTGCAGAGCTTTTTGTCTTTAACGTTCCTTTAGCTTCTTTCCAGGAGAGGAACAGATCCCGTCTATCAATACCCTCTGTATTAACAAATTACATTGCATTTTAGGTATACAGCAAAATGGAAGTATCAATATTATTATTTTTACGTGCCTGAAAGGTTGCACATCTTTTCGGACTCCATTTTAGATTTTAAGATAAAGATCGTCTAACACAATAAACTGAACGGTACGAATTGCCAGCCAAACAAACTGAAACTAAGCAGCACGTGGTTGATCAAAAACTGTAATTTATTTTTGTCTAGCTCTCACATAAACTCGGTAAACATTGTGTATTATATAAAGACGTGAATGTGTTAGTAGGATGGCAAACTGAAGACCAAAGGTCAAACCGGAATGCTGTATGAGGAAAATACGCTCCTCTTTGAATGAGGATAAATCAATAGAAGAACATTACAGAACAAGATGAAACCTATGGTGGTTTGTAGTTTGAAAGCGTATCTTTCGAATGGAAACTGTTTGGTTTGCCGGTTTTTATGGTGTGTCGACGTGAAAAATGCGTATTTTGACTATAATATTGTTTATAACTTTGACAGTTATGGTCAGAGAGGTAAAGTGTCTTCGGGTCAAATGTGTGTTTTAGGATTGCGAATAACTTTCTAGAACAAACCTTGTTGATAAAATCGCGTCCAAAAAAGTTATTTGGGGGGTCATTTAAAGAAAACGTTTGTTAACTCGTTACGCAATCGTTTTACGAAGTTGGTGTCTTCAGCAAAGTTGTTTCATTTGACATAATCTACAACTTTGCTCAAGACACCAACATGATTTGAGCAAGTTTGTAAAATTTTAATTTTGCCCTGCCCTTCTAGGTGGATAGATCAGCAATATCTCAGCACCAAACGATAGCCCTTTGAAAACTCTGCAACTCTTCTCAAGGCACCATCCTTCTAAAATGTCGTTTTCAAACCGAAAAATAAAAAACGCACGTTTTGGGGGGTTTTGAACCACTGTGCGGCGGCGCCGACTGGGATTGAGCCCAGGCCTGCTGGGGTGAGAGGTAATCACGCTTTCCACTACACCACCGGCGCCGCTGTGTGCATATCTTTAGTTTGATATATAATATGTAGTTGCAACAACTAGCATAGTCACAAAGCACTTGACTGTATCATATAGAGCGTGGCTTGTGGGCGTTGAGCCATGATATATGATCAAGGAATGCGCGATGTTTTCATTTGCTGTGGCACAATTGCGGCAATCTATATGTAGCTTAACATATAGTTTAAGTAGGATGGTGTTAAAAATGCACTTTATAAAGGGATTCACTTTCGTTTTCGGAAATGTTACACTGCCGACTGCATAGCCGTTTTTTGTTATTGTTAAAGCTCATCTCTCGACTGCGGAAGAAGATGGTAAAGAAAATCCGAAATTTTCGATAGGAATTGCAAATTCACTCCTCATTAATTCATACGCAGATACGTGACCCGAATAACACCGTTGATTAGCGTGCTGATTAACAGTTTGTGCTCCTTTAGGAATAGTACTTGACAGTGCTCTGTGTAGTTGCGGGTTTTAAAAATGTTACAATGATCATAAATTAAACTTTATTTGCTTAACAAATTTGATCATAAAATTGCAGTTATGTCCTTAAAGGATATCACTTATGTGTAGGTAGACGTTTGGTTGATAATGGTAAAACCTGGTCCACTGTCCACAATATCTTGGAAACAATAATTATTCGTTTATTTCACTTTCAAAGAACCCACACAAAATTCAAGAACAATATTTTTTTATGCGCATAATCCTTTAAAAAAACTGTGTCATTGAATACAAAGTATGAATCATCAAAATCTCAAACGCTACAATATTGTTTTGTCCGAGCTTGGGCGCTACTCCTTTGGCAGCACTGGCCTGGCACTAGCGAAATATAAGCTGTTTGTTGTCCCTACAGTTTTCGATGTTCATGTATGTTGTCGCTGTCGCTTCCACCCTCCTGTATGTAGTCCCAGAAGCGTCCATATTTGCCCATACCCGGAGCTAGTGAGAAGTTAGGAGAGCAAACGATGACGAAAGATTATCGATTATTTTGCTTCCACTGCACACCACTGCATGTCCTCCTATCCCTGCCTTGAACCATACGCTCACAATTATGGATGCTAATTTCCTCCCTATGTGGGCAGTTCCCATCCAGATGAGTCCCCTTCCCGAGCACTTCCGGATGTTGCTTACCTGTGTCGCCTATGATAATGTATTTGAACAGGTATGCGTAGGACATTTTCACTGTCGAGCTGCTGATTCGATCCTGGGAACCGTCTGTTTTGCCTGCTAGAAACCTTCGCTTTAATTACGTTGCACAATACGAGGGGATCACTGGTTTTTCTCCTCCCACGAAATACACACACACTGGATGGCGGGGCTCTTATCTCGCCTGCAGCTAAACTCACAGAATTTGATTTCACACTAGTAATTTCACTGGCTAGGAAGCTTCCGATGTTGGATTTACGACACAATAAACAAGCACAGAGTATCGAAGGAAATTCACCGTATGTATTTTCCTTTGTTCCACGCACGACCGACCGAGTGAATGAGAAAATAGGATTAGGATCCGCTGGCCAAGTTCTGCGAACAAACAGCACTCTGTCGTCAGACGTGAGAAAAGGTAATGCTCAGGGCCGCATCAAGGGATGATGACAGCAGAAAATGTTTGACAGTTTATTAGACGTTTTTAACAAAACATCGCATATGATGCACGGTAATTCTTAAGTCCTTATTTTATTACTAAATTTTACACATTTTCGAGAATAGGCGGAGAAAACAGAACACGGAGATGAACTAACCTACGGCTAAAAATCTCCTAAATAAAGGAAGAAAGAAAAAAACACAATTCGGCAGCAGGGATTTGTACCTAAATTTGTAACCTTTGGATTTTACACTAGAGGCAGATCACTTGATATCAGGCCAGTGACAAGGCCTATACCAACAGCAGCGTTTGACAGTAGGCAGCATGTCCCGGGCTCAAATCATTAATTTTGCTGTGCTGGGCCCGCTGCCACCGTATAACATGTTGTCTACGCGCCTGCCACTGGGCTGCTTGAGATGCATTTATTAGAACAAAAAAAAATTAAATGCATTTTCTCAGTACATTTTTTGCTGTGTGTAGCTTTAAGTGACACCTCCCACCAATAAAGTGATCTAAGAGACGTATCGCAGTGGAACTGACAGCTAGAAATCAAGAGTGTGTGAGTGATCTGGTGTTAATGGTGCTGAATGTAAACATAAACAAAGCAGAAATTCATATGAGAGTTAACTGTCAGTTCTACTGTGATCTGTCAAAAGTTCTTGGTAAACAAAAAAGTCAGTTGATCGCAACTGTCTCGTGGACAGCCTTAGAGCAACCGTAACGGTCGTTGTCATTTGCGCGACTATTTTAACAGCGCACAGCGCTCTCATTTTAGTTTAGTCACTCTTCTCCACACCGGTCGCTGCTATCGCGGTTATCAATTTACTCGCCTTTTTCCGTACCGGTAGTGAGCATTTTGACATTTCTACGAATAGCAACCTTTCTCCCGCGCTGCTATCGCGCTGCTATCGCGCTGCTATCGCGCTGCTAAATTTGGTAGCGCGCTTCTCACTGAGAAGCCGACTGCTATTTTAGTTACTCGTATGGCAACCCCCGATACGGTAGCTGCGCTATGATGAGGGCTGCTAAAATGAGTTTAGCAGCGCACCGTTACGGTTGCTCTTATACATGCATGTATACACACTAATAAAAATTCAATGCTAATTTTTATGTGTGCCACACATGAATTTTTGCAATGTGATAAACAAATAATGATATATATGTGTCGGACACATAGTTCTTATGTGAACACATAAAATTCATGTGTACTCTTCGTGTTCATGTATACTATTCATTTGACTCATAAATTTCATGTGTACTTCTGAGTGGATTCTGTTTATGTGTGGACACATGAGAATCATGTGGAATTTTACATGGAAATTCGCCAATAAAAATGTGTCGAATTTTATGAGTGCATGAAGGGTTTTGTCCTGATTTTTTGTTCGCTTCGGTTTTGCTCAAATCCACACTACTGGTTTGCGAAAATTATTCCAGAAGCTCCTCGATCGAGAACACGGAACAAATCCGTCGTATTTCATTAGAAATCTCCACCGGAATTGTGCACAGCCTGCGCAGAAAATGCTAGAAAACTCCGTCGAAGCTCGCTGGATCCTCCTTTGACAGCACCGAAATCTCTTGGAACCCGATCGCGAGCCCGATCGGAACCCTCTTCGCCGTGAACATATGAAAACCCCTTCGAAACTCCCCTCGAAAATTCAGATGCTGCCAACGGAGGTTCCCAGAGACTTTCGACGAAGTTACCACGCATAATCGGTGAAAGAGGTTCTGCATGATACCAGTGAAGAGATTGGATGCTGTTGACGAAAGTTCCAGGGAATATCGACGACGTTTTCTCACGTTATCGATGGACGAGGTTCTGTGTGAATTCGGTGATTTTGGAAGCTGCCAGTGAAAGTTACTGGAAGTTCAAACGGATTGTTCTTGCCTTCTAGATGGAGGAGGTTCTGCATGATTTAGAAGACTACCATCGAAGGTTAAATAGGAACTTTGTCTTGTCCTGATAAAGGGTTCATCCACCAGGATTACGTTTGACTACATACATTACATTGGGGCTACATTGAGTCTGTTGATGTTGACAAATAAATAGTATGGCCCATTCGAGGGCCGATTAAAAGATGCAAAGTTTCGATGGCGTTTTCTTGCGATCTTGATGGATGAGGTCCCATTCATGAGGTTTAAGGAAATTTTAATGGAGTATTCACGCATTGGAGGAGGTTCTGTATAGGTTTCTGATTCTGCCAGCGGATGTTCCAGATTCGTCGGAGTTTTCTCGCATTCACGGTGGTGATTTTTGGTGCTGCCAACGGAAGTTTCAGGAAATCTGTACGGTATTTTCTAGGGTTTGGAGGAGGTGGAAAGGTGGAGGAGCTTCCGCATGCGGTTGAGATTTTCGATGCTGCCAACGGAGCAAGGGGTAAGACAGCTCCTAATCAAGAGCAATTTTAGAGTTGCTTTTGAGGCACCTCGAGTAACTCACGATGCTCAGAGAGCAAGGTCACTGTCATTTGCTTTCTCACTTTTCGCATCACAGCAACATATGGAGGTGCGAAGCCGAAAAGCTGCTGTCAAGCAAAACAAAAATCAAAAGGAAACATCCGGCTCGATTTGGTAGAAGAACTCGATCCGCCTGACCAAATACTCCAGATCCGGCAAATTAAACGTACCCTGCACGTCCTCTGATGCTCAACAATCTGCCGCTAGATGAAACTACGAACCAACCACTGGATTCCAATGGCGCCGTTCTGCTGCGAGCGGACATCCTCACACTTCTGGTGTTACTGCTGTGCTTTGTAAATGATCGTGATGTGGTCCGCTTTCTGCAGCCGTCGACGAAAGTGTTTGTTTAAGATTAACATAACTACTTTAAAGAAAATATGTCATCCAGGAGGATAAACATTGTTTTGTTGTTTTATTTGTTATTCTTTTAAATATTATTTATTATATTCGGAGCATGTTTCGTTCTTCAGTTATATCATAGAGGTAACCCAAGCAGCACACTTCCATCAAAATAAGTTGCTGCAACTTGATTGTGACTGGAATAAGTTGCAAACAAGTAAGCACAACTGTTCAGTAACAAGTGTGCTGCTAGGGAACTCTAAGACTAGTAGCATAGAGGTAACTCTAAGACTAGAAGGTCCCGAAATAACGTGCTCAACTTTTTGGCTCAGCTCTGGTACTCTCTTCGGTCCCAAGCTAATCGATTCACCCCTCGAAACATAGGAAAAACTAATAACCCCTCATTTTATCTGTCAAACTTTCATAGCGAATCAAAACAAACATTGCGTAGTACTAGAATTTCGACTAGAATGGGGTACGTTAATCGTTTGCTTGGGACCAATAGGCTAGTCAAGTAGTGAGCCAATTTAAAATCGTTAGTTTCGTATTGATTATTGCTAGTAGGTCCCGAAGAAACGAGCTCTACTTTTTGGCTCAGCTCTGGTACTATCTTCGGTCCCAAGCTAATCGATTCACCCCTCGAAACATAGGGAATTCCACTAACCCCTCATATTATCTGTCAAACTTTCATAGCGAATCAAAACAAACATTGTGTAGTACTAGAATTTCGACTAGAATGGGGTACGTTAATCGATTTGCTTGGGACCAATAGGCTAGTCAAGTAGTGAACCAATTTAAAATCGATAGTTTCGTATTGATTGTTGGTTATATGCCGGTGATTGCCCGAAACGATTTTTTGTTCTCCTCGGTGGAGCCGATTTCTAAACAAATTCTGGAATTCACATTGTTTCAATAGCCGGTCTGAACAATTCTATTTTATTTACAAGCAAGACTGACGCCTAATATGTGAAGGGGGTAAACGGAGTAAGCCAAGAGGTAAATGTAGAATCACGCCGGCCTTGAAATCACTCCTATTTGCACTTCCAAAAACACTCCTGCTACTAAGAGGTCTAGCTACCGCTTTCCATAAAGGTTCGATCACGACTGCCCCCGAGCATCAAGAGCTCCCGTCTCTTTCTGCTGTCGTTCGTCAGGGGTGAAGTCAAGTCATCAACTAAAACTATAATTTCTTAGGGGTGAATCATAAACGTAAGTGAAATAGTGATTTAATTAATTTCCCAACTCTACATCCCTTTTCTGCTGTGAGAAAAAAAAGAAGAAAAAGAAAAGAAAAAAAAATTCAGAATCTTGGTCTTACCACGTTGACCATTTATTCGTTGTACACAGCAAAACAAGTTGTTGAATATTACATCGAAACTGATGCAACCAGGTCAATCCATCGGTTGTGTAATATCACATTGTACGATGTACATCGATTTTGCGAACAAAATTACATCCATTGATGTAATATTGTATCTACTTTTTGCTATTACATCATTATTTCATACATCAGCTTGAATTACGTTGATCGATATTACATTTTTTTTTTGCTGTGTATCTTGCCGGCAACTTCTTCATTCGCTTCGGGCGCTGTTGAGGGGAGCTTCCTTCCAGATCGGAGTTCTGTGCTTCCGCTTCTCTTTCTGATGCCAGCTCAACTTCTCGGGATATTGATGGTTTCGCCGTTTGTAGGAATGAATCCTTCGAATGATCCGGAGTTTCGGGCAGTCCACCTGCATTTCGTGAAGATGGCCACTTCTTTAAATGGGAAACGGAACGGTGATACGTTACTCCTTCTTCATTTTTGACGATGACATCACTTCCAGTTTTATTTTATTTTCCGTTTAATTTAAGTTATTAGTAATCCACACTAATCAGGAAAAAAAATATGCGGTGAGTGATTCTACAAGCCCTCAACATATGCTTACAAAAAAAAAATCAAAACTTATCGAATTCAACTTGAACTGAAATATAATTGTAAAAAAAAAAAGGAAGATATAAATTATTCTACCTTCAACACCGGGCTGGGACGTCGAGATGGTCCTTCCTCAGGGTCCTCCCGGTAGCGGTAGCCAAAACGACGACGTTCGTCCTCTCGCACCGAGTTGGCTTCATCAAATGAACGCTTCCAGTTCCTGGCATTTCCGTGTCTTGATCTGCACTTTCTTTCATAATGACCGGTACGCCCACAGTTGTTGCACCGGGCGTTTCGGGCAAAACATTCCCGAGAATCCTTTCGATGCTTCCATGATCCACAATTTTCACACTCCATACGGCTGCTCTGTTCCCGTCGTCTCTCACGCAATCCCAAATTTGTCGGTCTAGGCTCCCTGTTCCATTCCTGCTTGACCGCAGCCACAGTACCATAATCTACTTCAGCTTTGAAAGGAAGTGCCTTTTCTTTCTGCTTCAATAACATCTCTCTGTTTACAGCGTAGTTGCTCAGCTCATCCAGGTTCATTGAATTTTCAAGACCTTTGTCCCTGACTCGTTCGTCATGGGCTCCCATCGCTACCTGATGCAATATTTCCATCTCTTCTCGAACCCGGAAGTCGCAACGAGCGGCTTGTGTACGTAACTTCAGTATGAAATGGTTGAAGGATTCATCAGGCGATTGCTTCAACGCCCGAAATACCTCCAGCTCGATGCGCTCGTTGCGTTTTCCCACGAAGAAGTTGTTCAATCTTTTGATTGCGTTGTCGTACTCCGGTGTCTCTACTGGCAGAAATGGTACTTTAGCCGGCTCCGGATAAATTTCATCAGCCACCGGTCGCAAGTTGTAGAAAATTCGCTGAAAGCCTCGGCCTCCTCGTGCCAGGAGTAGAACAAGCTTGTCATGTTGCGACTCAATCTTCTTCAATTCTACGATAAGTTCGAACGCTCTGAACCATTCTTCCCATTCACGACGTAAATCGGAAGGGACAACTGCGTCATTAAATGGCTCCAACGGCCAATCCTTGTCCGGATCCATCTGTAACAAAACAGATCCTCGAATTAAAAAAATCTATCTTTCGAAATTTAAAGCGAAAATGTAGCCTAATTAACTCAGCAAATGCATGTTGTGATTAACAATTCAATAACCCGTGATTAAGTTTGCTTTAATTATCTCATTACACTACTGGCTGTCCTCAGCAACAAAACATCATCATGTACACAATTCCAAAAACTCGTTGTTTGTCATTATTTACCACTTTTTCGCTTGCTTCCTATTTACCAGAGCTTGTACACAAGCGCTTCGATCATCAACCAGACTCGCATTATTACCTACTTCTAAATATTTCTGAGCACTGCGGTCCTCAACCGGCCTTGCAATTTTTTTTTTCTCTTCCATACACAGACACAATGCTAACATATGCGCTTCGGTCTTCAACCGGCCTCGCTATCATTTCGTTTTGCTTCTTCGTATTCATGCACGCTGCGGTCGTCAGCCGGTCTCGCTATTTTTTTACACACATGTGGTGAGCTTTAATTGTGTGCGCTACGGTGCTCAACCGGCTTCGCCTATATGTATTTATACCTCTATGTATTGCTGCGCGCTGCGGTCGTCAACCGGCCTCGCTATTTACTCCACATACACGTAGAAAGCTTCGATTTCGTGCGCTGCGGTCCTCAACCGGTCTCGCTCAAATTTTCGCTTCTATACAATGGTGAGCACTTCGGACATCGACCGGTCTCGCTTCCTCTACTTTAACAAACCAGCGCTGCGGCTATGAACCGGTCTCGCTTTTCACTTTTGCCTCCTTTTTGCTATGTATCAGTGTGAGCGCTACGACATTTTATCGGACCCGCTGTCGATTTCATTTTACCACTTTTTTCTTCATCCTAGCCGCCATTTTGTTCTCACATTACGAGAAAATAAAAACGCTCCCGAACATCAAAAATTTTCCGAATCGAATATTAACAAACATAGCACCATTATCCTGCTTTACTCACCTCAATTAATGCTACCGGCTGCGCCAAATTGTAGAATCACGCCGGCCTTGAAATCACTCCTATTTGCACTTCCAAAAACACTCCTGCTACTAAGAGGTCTAGCTACCGCTTTCCATAAAGGTTCGATCACGACTGCCCCCGAGCATCAAGAGCTCCCGTCTCTTTCTGCCGTCGTTCGTCAGGGGTGAAGTCAAGTCATCAACTAAAACTATAATTTCTTAGGGGTGAATCATAAACGTAAGTGAAATAGTGATTTAATTAATTTCCCAACTCTACAGTAAAGAGGCAAAAAATCGATGCACGTCGATTTAATGTTGAGGTACATTGAATTACTCACGAGTTACTGGCTGCAAAAATGCAACTCAGAGTAAAGCTGTCTTACTCCTTGCAATGGAGGTTCTACGGAATTTCGACGGAGTTGTCTCGCGTTCTCAGCGGAGCAGGTTTTACGTGATTTTGATGTTAGCAGTGGAAATTCCAGAGGGAGCTTCTGCACGATTCGCTGGAGATTTTCTTTGCTGCCCAAGAAGGTTGAAATGAGATTTTCTTGAATTTTCTACTCCGAGTTTTCTTTTCCTGTTGAGTTTGTTTATCTTCGCCTCGATGCATGTATGTAGGTGTCACCGGAACAGCGCATGCTTTGTTTCCATATTTACATCCCACTCAATGGTTGATGCAAACGATGGAAATTAAATGCATTTGATTTAAACTAAAGGCATATTCAATGGGCATTCTAAAAGTGAGGTAATGGTTCTTAAAAACCCATTATTTGTAAGGTTCTCTTCCAAAAAACCATAATACATAAGGTTAAAACTTGATCACACAAACGTTCATGGAAAGTTCCATAGCCATTTTAGTTTAATATCATTAATTTCGTATTGATTGTCGGTTAACCTGAAACTGTCAATTCTAAGCAGAAAATTAAAACATACCGCACGCAGCCAATTCGACGAGTTGGGCTTTTCCCCATTTATTCATACCAACAGGCCACCATTATCGAGCGTGGAAAGCTGGCTTCCTCCGACATTTGAGCCTAACAAACGGGTACCATACACTAACGATATCAGAGGTGGAACGACCATACCACATACAGTTGGGATGATATCCCGAATTGGTGGTTAGAGGCTTTTTATGGTTATTGTTTATGCGGAGAGTCTCCATCAAGGCGAATATTATGTACAATGTATTTTAGTTATTTTTACCGTGTACAATCATCTTACCCACAAAAACATCGAATTTGGAAAACATCGATTCTTATCAGAAGTTTCTGCCCATCAAAAGACGGAGTTTTTTTACGCAAGTTTGTTTTGATTGCTCGATTCATTCCTATACGCTTGCTCGTATAGCCAATCACAGGCATAGGTCTGCTGCGGTTCAGCCGCTTCCCTGAATTTCTGAACAGAAGCAGGGAACTTACCTCTTATCTGTCGTGTCGTGGTGTATTGCCGGCGATTGCTGCAGATCATCACGGATTAAATCTCCTGGAATCATGTCACAAGGTAGCGAATAACGATACTAGCTTCCCGTTTCGGTTCGGTTTCGCCTCTTCGTCCCTTCGCACAACCGGAAGTGATTTTGGTTTCAAATATTGATTTTGCATTTTGCGATAGTTGGCGCCGTCGTGATTTATGAATATTAAATTGAGGAATCTGCAAAGGCGGTGGATAACGGAGCATAATAATGATTAGTGTCCGGTCGGTAGCGGTGGTTGCAGTTTTGCTGCTATTTTTTATTCAGCAAATTCTGGCTTCCGCCGGAGACCAGAGCCAGTTCTTTCAGAATTGCTTGAAGATATGTGTACTGGAAAATTGCACTAAATGTGAGTATATATTTCATAATACCCAAGTAAACGGGGTAAATGGGTGAGAAAATCAGATGATTGATGGTATATTAATTTTTTATTGCATTGCAGCTGGATTGGCATTTAAACGAACCTTTCAAGGTAGCCAAAGTTCGATCAATAAACTACTGCTGTGGACCTGCTACGATGAGTGCGGCTACGATTGCATGTGGAAGACGACGAGTGCATTCCTAAAGCGGAACTGGACCACACCACAGTTCTATGGGAAATGGCCGTTCGTTCGATATCTCGGTCTGCAGGAACCGGCATCGGTATTTTTCTCGATGACCAACTTCGGAACGCACTATTCAATGCTGAAGAAGTTTCGACGGGAGGTTCGACCGGACAGTCCGATGTATAGTCTGTGGCACGTCTTCTCGTATATTTGCCTAAACGCATGGATTTGGTCAACGGTGTTCCACTCGCGGGATTTTCCCATAACAGAGCTGTTCGATTACGCTTTCGCGTACTCGATGGTTCTGGCATCTTTCTACTGCATGGTGATGCGAATGATACACCGAAAGTCCATGTACCTAAAAGGGTTATTCAGCTTCGTGTGTATTGTGTTTTTCATCAATCACTTTTCGTACTTGAGTGTTGGACGGTTCGATTATGCATACAATATGAAAGCAAATATTGTAACAGGTTGATATATTATTAAATAGATCGGAATTTGATGAGCCCTGTTTAAATTCTAATTCTCTTTAGGAATGGCCGGAGCAGCCGGTTGGATTCTGTGGTGTATGTTGCAGCGTCGCAAGCGCCGTTACGCGTGGAAATGCTTCCTTTTTATCGTATTAGCCACATCCTCGTTGCTATTCGAGGTAAACGACTTCCCACCGATCTTCTGGACGTTCGATGCCCACGCGATTTGGCACCTGGTCACGGCACCGCTCACTGTTCTCTTCTACAGGTGGGATAATCCTAAACTGAGATAATTTCCGCTCGGAAAAATTCCAGCCCATTTTCTCTTTCAGCTTCATAATTGATGACTGCAGAAGCCTACGTCAAGAGCTGCATGATGAAGCGGATGACGATACGCGGAAATTGCTGTAAAGACTGAATTTCCGGAAGACAAACCAGTTTATCCTTTTAGATGATAAGTGATACGTTGTAGTTGGCGATTTGAAAGACTTGACGTGTAGTTTATTTGGAAACATCCGTCAGCTGCCGGACGTTTTAGGGTTCAATTAAGAACAGCGGACAATAAGCGAGAGAATCTTACTCGAAGGTAGCGGGAGTGGATGATGTTTTCCAGGAACAACCAATTATATACTAATTATGAGAATGTTTTAAGCATCGTACTATTATTACTCGGTAGAAACTAGTAGATTTATATTTAAAAGCCAATACATACATTCTGGTCAAACCTTTCCGATTTATTTTTGAGAAAGGTAGGTTTTAAAAAAATATATAACAAAAAATATTTATAACTATTTAAAACCAATATTGATGTAATCTACAATAGATAGGTTGGCTTGTACCATATAGTCTGTAGGATAGGTAATGTGACTTTGGATGTTGTGCGATGTATTAATTTTTTTGTCTATGTTTTGTCGTTCCTCTTAATAAAAATAAATCGATGATTACCAATTTCGTTCAAGTTTTGTTTTACATACCTAAACGTCTTCAAAAATCAGTCAAATGACGCTGTATGAAAATTACTATTAGCAAAGGGAAAGTGTTGGCCTATGGATCTAAAGCTTGAGCCAATCGATAAAAATCTCCTATTCATCGATTTTTCTTAGAACAATGCGTCACCAGCAGCTGAATTTCGGGCATTCATTTCATCGAAGAGAAAGAAATTTCTACACATTCCTAATATGTAGAAGCTTCTTCCTCTTCGATAAAATTTATGCCCGGAACTCAGCTGCTGGACAACACAAATGGATATTTTTAGATGCTTGTAAAAATTTGTCAAAAAATGCTTTAATTCGAAATTTATGTACACAGCAAAAAAAAAAATGTAACATCGATCAATGTAATTCAAGCTGATGTATGAAATAATAATGTAATAGCAAAAAGCAGATACAATATTACATCAATGCAAGAACAACATGTGAAAATGGCATACAAGCTTTTTGTAAACAAACCTTCTTATGCCCTTTTCTCGCCACCCATATGAAACCAACGCAAACCAACAACATCACCGGATAGGGGAAGCTTTTCCCTTCCCGATGATGTTATTAGTTTGCGTGGGCGACCCGCGGTTGGCGAGAAGAGGGCCTACAAAGGTTTGTTTACAAAAAGCTTGTATGCACTTTTCACATGTGGCTCTTGAATGGATGTAATTTTGTTCGCAAAATCGATGTACATCGTACAACGTTATATTACACAACGGATGGATTGACCTGGTTGCAGCAGTTTGGATGTAATATTCAACAACTTTTTCTTTCTGTGTATACAGCAAAAAAAGTTGTTGAATATTACATCCAAACTGCTGCAACCAGGTCAATCCATCGGTTGTGTAATATAACGTTGTACGATGTACATCGATTTTGCGAACAAAATTACATCCCTTGATGTAATATTGTATTTGCTTTTTGCTATTACATCATATTTCATACATCAGCTTGAATTACATTGATCGATATTACATTTTTTTTGCTGTGTATGCACAGAAAAAAAAAGTTGTTGAATATTACATCCAAACAGCTGCACAGAGGTCATTCCGCCGGTTGTGTAATATTACGTTGTACGATGTACATCGATTTTGCGAACAAAATTACAACTATTGATGTAATATTGTATCTACTTTTTGCTATTACATCATTATTTCGTACATCAGCTTGAATTACGTTGATCGATATTACATTTTTTTTGCTGTGTGGGTCCAATATAAGGGACACTTAGGCCGACATTAGGTTAATGAATCGCTACAAGTGCGAGTGCAAGCATATAGGGTTTTTGATCTAATTTCCGTCCTACTACACAGCAAAAAAATAATTTTGATATCACATCAAAGTGGATGCACTACAATCATGTCGAAAATTTCATGTAATTTTTATGACCACATAAATAAACAAATGCACTAAAAGCAGCGTAATTTCAGTTCATGCATTGTATTAATGATAATTTTGTCCTTTTTAGCAAGTAATATTACACCATATTTTCGACATGATTGTAGTGCATCCACTTTGACGTGATATCAAAATTATTTTTTTGCTGTGTAAGGACATCCCGCACTTTACCACGCTTTTTGGAAAGCGTTTGAACAAAACATGGAATGTTTTCATCAAAGATAACTTCTAAATTTATCTACCTTTCCATACGTACCGTTGGATTTGATAAAGAGTCAAACAATGTTGAGATATTATTAAAAATCTAACACTGCTTCTTGCTTCTAAATTCGTCCTACGCGTTTCAATTCCGTCCAAACGCATTGAAACGCCATTAGATTTTCTTCTTCCTACGGATAAACGGAGAAAAAGGGGATGCGCTAGGATTTTTTTTTTTAATTCTTTATTAAAGAGATTTTTAGCCTTAGGCTAGTTCATCTCTAGATGGATGCGCTAGGAGCACTTCTTTTGTTTTGAGAACAATGAGCGTAAATATGCATACAATGCGCTCTAATAGGATTTATGTCGTAGCTAATGAACTAACGCATCTAAACAAACGTAGTATTGTTTTGTGCATGGTGAAATCATTGATATTATTGATGATTTCTGCTCGATAGAACGGAAATGGGCGATTACGACGAAGTAGCGCTCTTCCCTACGCCTGTACTGCCCCTGTACGGCATAACTGTTCTGTTAGCATTTTTGGCGAAAATGAGTTTTACATTGGAATCGATTGTCAAGTACCTACCAAGTACACGAAAAGTTTTCTTACTTCGCTAAGAAAATGTCGCGAAAAATAATAAAACTATCAATCCTTTAAATTTGTCGAACCTCTTAACGGAATCCCTTTATGAAGACCGTCTCGAATGAACTAAATTCTCCTCAAGAGCAGTCAATATTATGCAATTTTATCGGGTGGATATAAAATCCACGTGTTGAAATTAATGCTTATATCTACTCATAAAATTGTAAATTATTGACTAATTGATTGTTATGAGGTAGAAACGTGTATGAGTTTTTTTTATTTCTGACAAAATTTTAACAACTGTTTGCAGCGAGGTTTGCAGACTCCGCCACCGTCTGAAATTATAAAACTAGAAAAATGCGACAATTTTGGTTTTTAAATCAATTAATGTAAAAGAATCAAATTACCGTCCAATATTTGCAGCAAGCTGCTGGAACATTTTGAATCTTTGAAGTGTTCTTCCACACACTTAGAGTTTTTTGCCGAGATGGGCACCACCGAGCAGCTCGGCAATCTATTGTGCTGGATCTCAGTGAAAATTTTGCCGAGATTCAGTTAACAAACGGGAATTTGGCCGAAATCTCGGCTAACAAACATAAATTTTGCTGAGATATCAGTACAAATAAATGCCGAGCCTGCTCGGTGGTGCCAATCTCGGCAAAACAAATCTAAGTGTGCACCACGCTCGGTGACGCCATATTGATTTTGTTTGTGTACCTGAAAATCACGTAAATCCCGTTTTGCGGAAATATCGAAGTCCCAAACACACAAACACAAATACACGAAATCTGTTTACGTGAATATGCGGTCGATTTCACCAACATTTTTAGTGGACATGAGATGCAATGCAGGATATTTACGTAAATCGGATGTGAAGATTTTTTAGAGTTTGGCAAAAAGTAAATGGTATTTTATCTTTTTGCACAAAAGTTGAATCGATTTGTGATCTTCGACAACGTTGTTAGGTCCCAGATATGACAACAAGGCTGTCCACGAGACAGTTGCGATCAGCTGACTTTTTTGTTTGCCATCAAGTACTTTTAACAGATCACAGTATGTTTGTTGTTTTGATTCGATAACAAAGTTTGACAGATAAATTGAGGGGTTAGTGGATTTTCCTATGTTTCGAGGGATGAATCGATTAGCTTGGGACCGAAGATAGTACCAGAGCTGAGCCAAAAAGTTGAGCTCGTTTCTTCGGGACCTTCTGGTCTTAGAGTTACCTCTATGGTACACAGAAAAAAAAGTTGTTGAATATTACATCCAAACTGCTGCAACCAGGTCAATCCATCGGTTGTGTAATATAACGTTGTACGATGTACATCGATTTTGCGAACAAAATTACATCCATTGATGTTTCTTTAGTGATTGTTATCATTATTTCTGACGTGGCTGAAACAGATATTAGAAAATGTGACTCGGAGACGAGCCAGCCAACGGCTGAAAGTCTCCTTAATAAAGATATAAAAAAAAAAAAAATTAGAAAATGTATTATTGCGCATTTCACACCAAACTGGACTAATAAGCGCGTTTTCACTTATTAAAAAGTGTGATTAAGGGGTAACGCCTACCTGCAAACTTTCAAAAAATCAAACTTTTATTGTCCTAATCGAAAGTATATAAAGTCAAGAATATTTCCTCAAAAGATCAAGTTGATCCGATGAAAATTGTGAAAGTTATGCGACGTACAAAAATATTCACTTATAGTGGACTAAACCCAGCTTGAAACTTTAAACGCGATTATCTCGGAATCATATTTTCAAAACCGGTGCCAAAAATTTCTCGAAATGTATACATTCGATTCGTCCGATTCGTTTTGATTTCTGTTCAGTACTATTTTGTGTAGTCCACGATCGTTCGGATTTCGTCTATCATTTAATTTCAATTTTTTACAGCCGATCAAAGACAAATTTTAAGGATCAAAAATCGGCACTTCAACTTTGCAAGGCCGCCATTTTGTCAAAAAAATAAAAAAAATAAAAAACCGAACGATCAAGGACTAGTTTAACACATGCTTAACGATTTGGCATGTTTTTTTTTTTATTTCAGATGATTACATCGCAAACCGCAGTTGGCACCGCAAAAAGCGTTGGGGCAGTGCACCTTCCGATTACCAGCCGCTTGCCTTGTCATCTGAGCTATCCTAGAATTCATCATATGGGCAGATCAATAATCAATAAAAGCTTGCTTGAAAGTGAATACCTATCAGCACTTCCGATCGCAACTCTAGCTCCTTCAAGGCCCTGTGATCGAAGGCCCTTAAGATCGAAGATGCGATGCTCCATACATTGCTGCATAACCCGGAGCAAATTATTGTCCCATTATGAAAGGTATAAAGGAGGTATGCCTATCGTATGCGGGGAAATATATCCAATATGTGGGTGTGTATGATCTGCCAGTCTGCCACCTGAAGCTCTCGACAAAGATCAGGCGTTAGTGCTGGGGAAATACGGTAAAGTAAAGCACGTCGTAAGTGAAACATTATCAGCAGAGTTGGGTTTCGATATTCATACTGGAGTACGTAGTATATATATGGATACGAAAAAGGAATTCCTACATCGCTGCATTTCCGCATCGGAAGGGGAATGTATTCTATCTAGGGAACAAGAACGTGCGAGGGGGGCGACACATCTAAATCTCAAGTCTAGATGCTCAACAAATCTCCCACTAGCGAATCAATCTTCGAAAAATCTTCTTTCAATTCTCGCATCTACTTGCATCGCGCATCATCTTTTTGCAGGAAATCTTCAGAATCGACGTCAATCTTCTTTCTATCTACTCAGCGTGCGCGCAGCTAGCCACAGCAAAACCTAATCTTTCCTGCATCGTAGATAGAGTCGTCCCCCTCGAGAACGTGTGTTTTGTTTGCAAGATAATGTGCAACCAGATCAATTCCTGCCCGAAGCAGAAGGCTCGGAAGCAGCCAGAGAAGGGACAACTGGACGAAAAACGGAAGCAGGAAAGCGCGACCAGGACGAAGATCGAAGTGATAGCAGTTTTGAAACTAGTTCGTATGCAAGTGTGATGGCCGGAGGTGTCATAACGGACGCGATTGAGGTGCTCGTAATGGCACGAGATGACGAGATGACCCTAGAGATTGAAGAAAACAGTGAAGAAGAACAAGCAAGCGGAAACCAGGTTCAGCAGCGATTTAATTACCGTAAAGACCCGACCTACTTGATGGCGAAAGAGCTGTTAAATCGACAACAACATGTTATTGACGAGAAGAAAGCAGTAAGTTGCGAGCGCGGGAAAAAGCAGGGAGCAGTCACCTCCAAGGAAAAAAAAATAATACTAGAACGCTCTCTTTTTTGTTATTTACTAATTTAAAAAAAATAATCGGCTCCGTAAAGCATCTAAAATGTTTTCATATTTGCTGTATCTTGAACAAGTTTTTGGAAACGAGAATACTTACAATAGTTGAGTCTACTTGAGTTACTACGTAATCGGGTATTTACTCGTCAGTCGGCTTGTCTATTGGGCTCTATAAATTAATCAATCGAGATTTCAATAAAGCATATGTCTGCCCTTGGCAGATACGAGCCCCTCAATATACACGTCATTGTGTCTATTGGGATATACAGTCAATTCTGTTTTTACGCAATTTCAATTTTGTCATCATGATGGGAACAGAATTTTCAATACCCCCATATTTGTCTTTGTTTTTTATTATGATTTTTTTTAAAATGCGTGCGAAATTCAGTGTATATCGCGAATCGAATCTTATCGTGCGGGGTTTTTTTTCAGACCCACCGCAAATATGACTGCTCGAATTTACTACCTACCTAATGAAAGCGATGATTAAGATCGCAAACTGGTGCCCTATCATAACAGCTACGTCACTCATTTTTATTAGATTGGTTCAGAGTGGATGAAGAGTGCAAAAAAGGAGAAGTAGTTGATTAGCTGGCTCCTCTGCTTGAGCGAATTACTCAAACTGTACCTCGCGGCACACGGTTTTAAGCAATGAGATATATATACACATAGGGTCCAGTTTATGGCGAAACATTGCCACCTAATCTCCATTGATGTACATGCGGCAGACAGAATGACTTGCATCATACACATCCGATGTCTGTCAACCGCATGCCTTCTACGCCGTTGTGTTACCATAAATCCATATAATACTGCAATAATCCTGAAACGTGTAAATCCGTAATCGCGTTTCGACTGCGATAACAGTACATTATCGATTTTGCTTCTTTACTCGTGGCAAAGCAGCGTATGAGCCGAAAATTGCAAGTATCTTTAGGTGTTTACGCGCACTGTCTACTTAATTAGGTTTTAAAGGTCAGTTGCTGTCGTGTCGCACTGTTATCGGTGGCAAATAATTGAAAATATAATCCTTTGTGAAAAATCAATGATAATGCTTTCGAAGAAAATAAACTCAATTTTTAGAATCTTTATTTTATTCAACTTTTAAATACATTTGTTTTAGAATAAGTACTCGGGAGAATGAAATGGGGACAAATTACTTCGCTATAGCTAATATCCTATTAAGTGAGGGTTTATACTTATGTATCGAATCGAATATTAGAACGTCCAAACTCTTATCACGGTTTTCCTCAGCTCGCCGGACTGAAGAATACTGATTATTGGTTTACAATTACGGTGTTCAATCGACCGCAAGGCATTGTTAAATCTTGCTATAATACTCACTATGTACAGTACAGCTACCATTTTCGTCGACTTGTAGTATAATTTTGATCTAAATTCGAAAATTCCTATGTTTTCTACTGCTTTTTAAAATTATACGAAAGTTTCGTCTCAGCTCAGCAGAAATTCAAGCGAGAACTATGAGATCCGCTACCTACATACAACGAATTTACTAAGTTTCAAAAAAGACCAATTGAATATATGTAAGGCATACGTTTTTGCTTCAGTTGATTTCGTCTGACCAACATTACGTTTAATTGATCGATCAGTTGCACAATTTCTTTGTTTTTTTTTGTTGTGTAAAATCGGATCAATTACGAGGTAGGTATACTGTGAGGAAAATGAAAGTCACATGGAGCAACACGTACGAATGGGAAAGAAACTATGCTTAAACTACTGAAATTGTCATTTTTTTTTTTCTTCAAGTAAGTACGCCGCGATCAAGATCTACTCCGTCACAGTGGAACTTAGTTCGTCGCTGTCTTTGTCTTCCTCATCCAACGTTCCAACCGCCCAGGCAAAAATTCCCGATAGGAATATGAAAAATCCAGCTGCGTAGAACGAGATATCCCACGTTTCGGTCAGATCGTACATTAAACCAGCTAGCGGAGGTCCGATGAGACTGCCGATGCCCTGAACCAGCAGGCACAATCCGTAGGCGATGGTGAAATCGTCCAGACTGACCAACCGCACCAAGATGATCGGCGTAAAGGAAAAGGTACTGGCGAAGGTGAATCCGAACAGTCCACACAACATGGCCATTGTGGCATAGTTTGATACCAGCAAAGGCATCAGGACGATGGATATGCCGCACACTGTTTGGATGGAAAACAGATTGGAGAATGATTGATATTTAAGGTAGAGAAAATGGATTTTGTACACACTTAGAAATTTTTACAGAAATCTGTAAAATTTTACCGAAAACTCAACAGCTGATCGTTCGGTAAACAGTTTCACAGATTTCCTGTAATTTTTTACAAATATCTGTGAATTTTTCACAGATATCTGTAAATAATTACAGGAAAACTGTAAAAATGTTTACCGAACGTTCAGCTGTACCGAAAGTTCAGCTGTTGAGATTTCGGTAAAATTTTACAGAAATCTGTAAAATAATCTTAGAGTGTACCATTAAAACGATAAAAAGGTGCTTAAACTTTTGAAAAGCACTCCTTTACTGCGTAGCTATTCAGATTTAGTGTCCTGCCCAGATTTTTTTAAAGCGTCAGAAAAGCTTCTAAAATTAAAAAAAAATTCTAAAGCCGATTTTAAAAAAAGCTTCTAAAGAATGTTCTAAAAGAAACTTCTAACGAAAATTCTAATGTAAGCTTCTGAAGAAGATTTTAAAAGAAGCTTTAAATAAGAATCTAAAAGAAGCTTCTAATGATTCTAAAAGAAAATTGTGAAAAATGCTACTAAAGAAGATTCTAAAAGGAAGCTTCTAAAAATGATCCCAAAAGAAGATCGTATAAGAAGCTTCTAAAGAAGATTCTAAAAGAAGCATCTACAGAAGGTTCTAAAAGAAGCATCTAAAGAAGATTTTAAAAGAAGCTTCTAAAGATGATTTTAAAAGAAGTTTCTACAGAAGATTTAAAAAAAGGTTTTAAAACAGCTTCAAAAGAAGATTCTAAAAGAAGCTTATAAAGAATATTCTGAAAGAAGCTTCTTAAAAGGGTTCTAAAAGATACTTCTTAAGAAGATTCTAAAAGAAGTTTCTACAGAAGATAAAAAAAAAGTTATAAAGATTATTCTAAAAGAAGGTTCTAAAAGCAGCTACAAAAGAAGATTCTAAAAGAAGCTAATATAGAAGATTCTAAAAGAAGTTTCTAAAAGATGTTTCTAAAGAAGTTTCTAAAAGAAGCTTCCAAAGAAGTTTTTATAATAATCTTCTGAAGAAGATTCTAAAGAAGATTCTGAAGAAGATTCTAAAGAAGATTCTAAAGAAGATTCTAAAGAAGATTCTAAAGAAGATTCTTTAAGAAGATTTTATAAGAAGCTTCGAAAGAAGATTCTAAAAGAAGCTTCTAAAGAAGATTCTAAAAGAAGCTTCTAAAGAAGATTCTAAAAGAAGCTTATAAGGAAGATTCTAAAAGAAAATTCTAAAAGAAGCTTCTAAAGAAGGCTAAAAGATGCTTCTAAAGAAGATTCTAAAAGAAGGTCCAAAAAGAAGTTTAAAAGAAGATACTAACAGCTTCTAAAGAAAATTCTAACAGCTTCTAAAGAAGATTCTAAAACAAGCTTTTAATGAAGACCCTAAAAGAAACTTCTAAAGAAGACTATAAAACATGCTTCTAAAGAAGAATTTAAAGAAGGTCCAAAAAGAAGTTTAAAAGAAGATACTAACAGCTTCTAAAGAAAATTATAACAGTTTGTAAAGAAGATTCTAAAACAAGCTTTTAATGAAGATTCTAAAACAAGTTTCAACGATGATTCTAAAAGAAGCTTCCGAAGAAGATTCTAAAAGAAACTTTTAAAGAAGATTCTAAAAGAAGCTTCTAAGAAAGATTCTCTAAGAACATTTAAAAGAAGATTCTAAAAGAAGCTTATAAAGAAGATTCTAAAAGAGCTTCTAAAGAAGTTTCTGAAAGAAGCTTCTAAAGAAGTTTTTAAAATAGTCTTCTGAAGAAGATTCTAAAGAAGATTCTATAAGAAGCATCGAAAGAAGATTAAAAGAGAAATTTTGTAAAAGAAGACACTAAGGAAGGCTAAAAGATGCTTCTAAAGAAGGTTTAAAAATAATCTTATAAAGGAGATTCTATAAGAAGCTTCTAAAGAACATTCTAAAAGAAGTTTTTAAAGAAGATTCTTTAAGAAGCTTCTAAAGAAGTTTCTAAAAGAAGCTTATAAAGAAGTTTTTAAAATAGTCTTCTGAAGAAGATTTTAAAGAAGATTCTAAAAGAAGCTTCATAAGAAGATTATGAAAGAAGCTTCTGAAGAAGGTTAAACAGGAAAATTGTAAAAGAAGATTCTAAAAGGTGCTTCTAAAGAAGATTCTTAAAAAAATCCTTAAAGAAGCTTATAATGAAGACACTAAAAGAGACTTCTAAAGAAGACTATAAAACATGCTTCTAAAGGAAAATCTAAAGAAGGTAAAAAAAAAGGTTTTAACAGAAGATGCTAACAGCTTCTAAAGAAGATTCTCAAATAAGGTTTTAAAGAAGATTCTAAAAGAAGATTCAACGATGATTCTAAATGAAGCTTCTGAAGAAGATTCTAAAACAAACTTTTAAAGAAGATTCTAAAAGAAGGTTCTAAAAGAAGCTTCTAGAGAAGATCCTAAAGGTAGCTTCTAAGAAAGATTCTCTAAGAAGACTCTAAAGAAGATTCTAAAAGAAGCTTCTAAGAAAGATTCTCTAAGAACATTTAAAAGAAGATTCTAAAAGTAGTTTATAAAGAAGATTTTAAAAGAAGCTTATAAAGAAGATTCTAAAAGAAGCTTCTAAAGAAGTTTCTAAAAGAAGCTTCTAAAGAAGTTTTTAAAATAGTCTTCTGAAGCTTTGAAAGAAGGCTAAAATAAAAATGCTTCTAAATAAGATTCTAAAAGGTGCTTCTAAAGAAGATTCTTAAAAAGATCCTTAAAGAAGCTTATAATGAAGACACTAAAAGAGACTTCTAAAGAAGACTATAAAACATGCTTCTAAAGGAGAATCTAAAGAAGGTTAAAAAAGGTTTAAACAGAAGATGCTAACAGCTTCTAAAGAAGATACTAACTGCTTCTAATGAAGATTCTCAAATAAGCTTTTAAAGAAGATTCAACGATGATTCTAAAAGAAGCTTCTGAAGAAGATTTTTAAACAAACTTTTAAAGAAGATTCTAAAAGAAGCTTCTAAAGAAGGTCCTAAAAGAAGTTTTAAAAGAAGATTCTAACAGAGGCTCCCGATGAACTTTATAAGAAGCTTCTTTTCTTAAAGAAGCTTTTAAAGAAGATTCTAAAGGAAGCTTCTTAATAATATTATAAAAGAAGCTTCTTACGAAGATTAAAAAAGAACCATATAACAAAAGCTTCGTTTGGAAACTCATTCTAGCTGCTTACCCGTTTGACTTTAAAAAAAAACATAGGTAGGACAGTAAATCTGAGTAGCTTTGCAGTAAAGGAACGTTTTTATCAGGAGGTTTAAGGAGCGTTAATAGTTTCAATGGTACATAGCTGCCATTTAATGTATAGTAGACTAGTGGTTCATCGTACTACATAGTCAACACACCATGCATTTTCGACTCCATCCGCTGATACTTACTGAACATACAGATCATGTATGTTTTGGTCACATTAATCCACGGTTGGTCGCCCAGCCATCCGAGAACGATCATGCCGACGGTGTTGGTTATACCGATAATCGAGATCATATTGGCACTGTCCTGCTCGGTGAAGCCATACATCAGCATGTAGTCCGGGATGTAGAAATATGGGATGATGTACCTGCGAGGGGGTAATTTGAGCTGACTGTTTGTACGAGTGGTTTATCAGGGCACTTACCAAATAAAGAGCAGAAGAGTCGAACTCATCATCATGCTGAACTTGTATTCTAAGAAAAGCGAAAAGTCGAACATGGTTTTCAAGGCATCTATGAAGTCGTCGTACCATTTCTGCGAGGGACATTAAACAGATTGTTAATTTTGTACACACAGGTAAATAAGTAGTAAAATTTGTAACAAATCAAAGTAACGACATAAAAAATAGCAAGCAAATTTTGGGCGGATTGTGTTTTCTCTTGAATTCTATATTATAGTGGATTTTATTTTAATCATGCAATGAGGCGTTTCTTTTCCTAGAACGTAACTGGACGTCGTCAAAATAATCAATTTCAGCGAATGAAGAATCGATCACAGCCATGGCTTGTAAAAAGTAAAAACAGGAAAGCATGACTCATCATAACTGAAATTAAAACAAGTTATTTAACACTAGAAATGCTGAACTTTGCAAAAGCTAGAGAGCAAAGACCCGTATATTAAATTTATGATGCATATAAATAGCACAATCAACTGGGTTCAGTATCCACTTATCCACGCTGCTTTAATACTATTTCAAACCTACGTTGACTGAATCAACGAATTCCTTTATGTCATAAGTATGTCAATGCGTTTCCGTAGCTCCATGAAATGATCTGCTATGTAATCGATCATAAACAAATATCAAAAGCGTAAACAATCCAATCGATTACAAATAAATAAAGTGAAAATGCAGCACTCTTTATCGATACATCTTTCCTATGTAGAAAAAACTTCATTGTGCTCACCACATTAAAAGACTTTAGAACTAAGTGGAACTTATCGATCAGCAGAGCCATATTCAAGTTGTTTTCATGATGTTCGAGCATTCATTTAAGTGGGACCCACAATAATGCGTTGACGAAGGGGTTCGTCCGTCAAATAACAGGTGTAACGCATGTCTAGTTACTTTTCCACCGACATCTCTAAATTTAACGCTGACGCTGACGTTGACGCAGCTTTGTGGGTCCCGCTTTAGTCGTGTAGTTTAGTACACGTGTATTTAGAAAAAAATCTTCAATGAGATGGACAAAATGTCTCCACCTGTCTTTACCGGTACTTTTCAAAATTACAACCGGGGGAAGGGGGAATTCTGCAATATATAAATTATATACAACTAAAGGCCGGCGCACAATGCATACGTTTTCGGGTTTTTTGACAGATAATGCATGGGCTAACTGTCAAAAAACCTGAAAACGTATCGATTGTGCGCTGGCCTTAAGCTTTTACCGAAATTCTTGGAAGTTATGAAAACACCATTTGGGACATTGGTGAGCTTCAAGAAACCAGAGTCAATGTTATAATAAGAGTCACGCCAAGAGTGAAGCCAGAAGTACCAATCGAACTGTCAAGCGGGGTACCAAACAAGCAAAGTAAATAAACATTATTGTTCCCACAGCCAGTGAACTACAAGTATTGCATTCATTACTGACAATATTTTAGTAATTTTAGATGAAAAACCTTTCTTCACTTTATTTAGTACATTGTGGTATTTATAAGTTATACCAAGCACTTGCTTGAACATTTGTCACGTTCTATAATTCTTTTTGTCTCCCAGAAGCTCCGTTATTGACATGAAATTTTTCACTTCTGTATGAAAGTCATCCGATGCTTACGAAAAAAATTAGGCTGCCATTTACTCAGACGAAAAAAAAAATCACAAGCAGTGCTGCTTGTTCGCAATATTTTCTCTTGGCGGGACTCTTATTATAACATCGACTCTGCAAGAAACTTCGTAGATCTTCATGAAACTTCAGAAACTCCAGGGAACTTCGTCACGTCTGATATCATAAGAGCGCGACAATTTTTAAAACAGGGAATCCATCTTCTTGTATTTTGACAGTAGACTGCGTCGCCCATAATTAAATAGTTTTTGCACGGTCGTTTCCGCGAGAAAAGAAGAACACGTCACAGACAAAAAGAAGCCAGTTGTCTCCTCTTCCTCTTAGAATTTTCTTTACAATATGCTGAGATTTGTATTGTATACTCATTTACTGCAGGTAGTATGAGCAGCAAAAGCCATGCCAGCTTCACGATGAAGCTGACGTCAACCACCGAGCTTTCCTATAATGGACCACACAGCCAACCAGAACAACTAAGCGACTGAATTCAATTGACTCAGAGCATTTTCTTTCCATACGAAATTTACTCATATTTGGAAAACCTGCAGTTACTCATTAGCTAGAGTAAATTGAATTCAGTCGCTGAGTTGTTCTGGTTAGCCGTATAACAAGAGCTGAAAATTCAAGCACATCCATGTGGTGCTGGACCGGATCAAGTAGCAATGCACGGCACCGCCATTTTTTGGGGACGACGAGAGCTGCAGTGGCGGGCAGTACGATTTATACCCCGTACAGACTATGGCTTATATCATGTAATATAGGCCGTCTTGCAATGAGCACTCATACATCTACCATATATCTACATCTTTTTCACTGGAAATCCTGAGTGCTCATTGCAAGACAGCCTATATTACATGATATAAGCCATAGTATGTACGGAGTATTAGTAGCCGGTGGAAACTAACGATTTTAAATTGGCTCACTACTTGACTAGCCTATAGGACCCAAGCAAATCGATTAACGTACCCCATTCTAGTCAAAATTCTATTAATACACTATGTTCGACAGATAAAATGAGGGGTTCGTGGATTTTTCTAAGTTTCGAGGGGTGCATCGATTAGCTTGGGACCGAAGATAGTACCAACTGAGCCAAAAAGTTGAGCATGTTTCTTCGGGACCTAATTCGGGACGGTATTAGGTTCGGCTTTGAGCAGTGCTCGACAGGGACCCAGCAAAAGCGCTATTTTTTCAAATGTAGCAACCACCGATACGAGCAGCTGATGAAGTGTTTGCCAGTTAAATAATCGCGGTGGCATAGGAGGAAGCTTTGTACAAGAGCAGTTAAATTTGACCAAAGCAGTCAAAGCTGAAGTGCGTAAGTTATAAAATTTGCTCTTGTCGTTTTTAGTTTAAATGAAGACTCTACCCAAATTGTCAATTTCAACTACAAGACTAATTTACGTCAACTGAACCAGATGCATGGTCATTTTCAATTAAATGCTTACGCTTATTTAAATTGCAAAAAAAACAACAACAAAAATGAACAACTTTTTTCATTTCAATTGACATACACAAATGACAAACAGCAAGTAGCACTAATGTGCCTCATGAGTTTCATACGATGGACATTATGAAATTTCATACGATGTGCATTATGAAATCATTGGCCTCAAAACGACAAACACTCATAGCTTCAATCTTATGAAATTAAAATAAATTCTTATCGAAAAAAAATATAAGATAATGTAATGAAAAATGTTCGATTTATTTTCTCAGTGTAGGAGTTAAAAAATAGCACCTACACTGTACCACAACATCATCCTCTGCTCGAATGAAACCTCAGACCATTCAAATCGAAACATCGAAATCGGTTTTTTCGAATGATAGCTGCAACCGGATGACGGTTGTTTTGTAATCAGATGGTGCTCCTCTCGAATTGCGAGAAGCGAATGGACCTCAGTTGAAATACGTAATGCTCTCTGTAGATTGATTGTCATCCTAAATTGAAATGCATATGGATCATTCTAGCTAAAGTGGGTACACCACCTGTGGTCGATGTCACCGATTTGAGCCAAACTTGGCCAAAACGCTTATTTTGGCATTCTGAACAAACGCCTTTTTTCGATTTTACTCTGAAGTGCCAAGATCCCTCTCGGCTACAACCCTGGATTCTCAAGATAAAAAAAAACAACTTTCAGAAGAGATTACTCCACAAAAAAATAAGCTATTCGTGATGTTAGAACGTCAATTTGAAGGTTTTTTTTAATGTAGATTCTTATAGGTGTACTCACATTTTGTTTTTGTTATAGTAACTACGTCAAATGCGATAAGCAATAAGCTTCAAATTCGTAGAAGAAGAACAGTTACGTTCATGAATGGAAAGTGTGTTTTCAACAAATGAAAAATAAAGGTTCAACGTTTATTTTTCTTTATAATATAATAAAAAAAAAAGCATTCTTGCTCGTGAGACTGTATCTAATAAAATAAATTATTTACTCAAATAAGGGTATTATTTAACCAGCAGCTGTCATCCACAATATATACGTACCTGCTAATCTATCTGATTTCATCGTACTTCTAAAGCACAACATTTTGGCTGTATGCCAGAGGAACGTACTTTTCACTTTTAGGAACACAATTAAATTATGGACATAAGTAAATAAATGAGCTAGTTATAATTTCAAAAGATGGGAATCCTGCCCAGAACACGTTAAAAAATAACATAAAAATATTATTATGCCATCGGCGTAAGGAATTCAAAAAATACAAAATTAAAAAATATTAAATAGCATTGATTTTCCACCAGAAAAGCTCAAAACTACCACCACTCACAAAAACTGTTTGTCCAAATCATTTGCCCTTTGAAAAAAAAAAATCAAGTAGAAGAGTTTTCCAAAGTGTGGTGCAAATTTGAGCCCAAAATATTATAATATAAAAAATCCCGCCCATGGTGAAAATAGGCCATTTTTTGACAATTTTGATACCTACTGGTAATCAGTCTGTTTACTATAGTTACTATATCAAAAACAAAATGTGAGTACACCTATAAGAATTTACATTAAAAAACCTTCAAATTGACGTTTAAAGATCACGAATAGCTTATTTGGATGTGGATTAATCTCTTCTGAAATCTGAATTTTTTAAGATCTCGAAATCCAGGGTTGTAGCCCAGAAGGATCCGAGATCCTTTAGAGTAAAATAAAAAAGGCGTTTGTTCAAAATGCCAAAATAAGCGTTTTGGCCAAGTTTGGCTCAAATCGGTGACATCGACCATAGCTTTTTAAAATTCTGTACCCTCTTGAGCTGGAATGACCCATATGTTATTGGTTCAGCCCCATATCGCAAATCACCCAATACGATGATGTAAATAACTTCATCGAACGTCATTTGCTGATTTGAGGTGATAAACGAGGTGGAAATATAGTCATCGCTATCAGTGGTGGTACGAACATTGTTAAAGCGTTGAAAACGAAGATTTTCTTTTTCGTGGTGGAGGAAGTTTCCTCTTCAACCAACAAATAATTTTTGTGTCCATGTTGGAATGGTTGTTCATGGCTGTTCAATATGGAAATGTAAACAACAGAATTATAAATCTAATATAAACCATAAGCAAGCCTTCCTGTTCTTTAATTGTTGTCCTCTGACCGCTGTATCTTGTAAAGTCAATTTTAAAATAAATATCATCCTTATTGGGATGACAGTCTTATGGGTGCTCATCAGCTGATGTCGAATTCAACCATAAGGCAATCATCCAAAATTCGAAAACATATTGTTAAAGGGCTCGAGCAATGCAATAATCGTTCGAAGTATTGCGGATGTTTTTGTTCAGTGTGGTTCGTCAGTAATGGCACTGCTCAGCGTTGCCAGATATACCGATTTATCGGTGTTTATACCGAATGTCGGAATAAGATACCGATATACAGATAAGGTTCCTCAGAATACCGATTTTTGAGGTTTTATACCGATTTATACCGATTTTTTTTTTAAATAATCAATATGCGCTCGAATTTCGGAGAAAATTATTGTGAGAGACTTGTATCTTTTTGAATATCTTAAATTTTTTGAGCCTTTAATACCCCGTACAGACTATGGCTTATATAATGTAATATAGGATGTCTTGCAATGAGCACTCATGCATCTAGTTTCACTGGAAATCCTAAAAAAAATATTCAAAAATGTCTCATTAATACTCTTTCGATTAATGTTTCAATTTCCTCACCGTTTTTGGCTACCCATGAATCGATAAACACTCGATGGTTCTTTCTTGTAATTCCAGGGGATTCGGGAAATACTTTTTAAACATTATTTAACTTCCTGGATTTGTACCATTTTTCCCCTGGAATTTTCTTCCACCTTACATCGTAAATTAATTTTTGATTCCTCTCGGAAACTTATTTCGACTTCCCTTAGAAGCTTCTTCAGCCTTCGCTCGAATGACTCTTCCGTCTTCTCCCGCCAGTTTTTTCAACTTTCCCGGAACTTCAGGGATGCTTCCAGGTTTTGATTGCGGATCCACACTAGCTGGTCGTTGGTCCCCGGTTCATTCGCTGATGGGTCGATAGGTAGGGTCCAGGTGTGGGAGCTGCCTCCCTGGCGTGGTGCTCAGCACGGAAAACAAGATCGAAGGAAAACAAATCAAATGGAAAAAAAATACTTCACAAGTCCCATGAAATTCTGGAAAAATTTAATGGTTTTTCGCACAGTTCCATTAGTTTCAGGAGAATTGAGAGAACTTTAGGAAGCTCCGAGAACATCAGGACAGATTCATAAATTTCAAGGTAATCGCTGAAATTTTAAAGGAGTTCCGAGAAACTCGGGAAATTTCCGAAAACTTCAGCAATGTTCCGAGGGGCTCATGCAAATTTAAGAAACGTAAGGGAAGTTACATAAACATTAGCACATTGTGAGAACATTTTATGGGAGATTCCGTGATTATTAATGGTAGTGTCGATAAATTTCAAAAATTAGAAAAATCGGGAAGATCAGAGAACTTCAATGCTGATGTTACAATAAATTCAAGAATATTATGAGAGCGCTTAAGAAATTTCGTAATCTTCAAGAAAGTCTAGATACCTTCAAAGTTGATTAGAGATATTCCGGTAGTCTCATTATCATCAGGGAAGTTCCAAGTATTTCAAAGATGATCAGAGTACTTCAAAACAGCCCGAGGAAATATGGAATATTCCTAAGTACAATTCAGGAATGTTTCAAAAACTTCAGGGGCATTGCGGGGTCTTCAGGGATGTTTTATGACCATTTGGATTTTTTTTTTTGATCATTAAAACATCCCCCAAGAGCACTTTCTTCCGGAATTATGTCCTTGTTTCTTTCGACTGTTTCGTTAGCACTCTGGCTTCCGACTTCCTCCAGAATTTTTTTCCAATCTACCTTAGAAAGTTTCTGCCAGCGCCTCCAGGAAGTTCAATTAAACTTCTCCCAGAACTTTCTTTCTAGTTCTGGAATTTTGTCCATTTGTTTTTTTTTACTTCTATTGGAAGGTTTTTCCGAGCTTCTTCTGAATTCCCCTGGAAATGGCTACTTCTGGAATTGACTTCCGATTTCCGAAACTTTGAATGTGAAATACGATTTTTTTTCTGGAAGTTTCCTTAAATTTTCGCCAGAAGTTTTTCAATTTATGCCTTGACAGTTGCACGAATGTTTTTCCGACTTCTCTCAGAACTTTCCTCAAATGTCCTCCAGGAGAGCTTCTTTCTCTGGATGTTGTTTTCAGCTTCCTCCAGAAGCTTATTCAAACATTCCTCGGAGTTTTCTTTCGGAATTTTTCGATCATAGTCCAAAAGTTAAAATTTTCGCTTTCAAAAACGGCAAAAACATAAAATTAATTAAAATAGTAAATACCGATAAATACCGATTTTTTAAAACCTTTGGTACCGATAAGCTTTAAAACATTCTGGCAACGCTGGCGCTGCTACAAAGCAAGACCATGCTGGAGGTGGCTTGGTTCGATGCCCAGCCCAGTCTAGAAATGTTGTATGATCTTTGAATGTGATTCATGAAGCGTTTTAGAGCTCATCAGCAATTTATATTGGTAAACACATTCCGTATAATAAAACTTTTGAATGTGCACGCATCATTTGGCTTGAAATTCGATTATTTCACACTCTGTATCTAATGTACCCTTTGTCTGTATCTTGGGGTCAAACCCCAGACAATTTTTGCAATCTTGATTATTCGTCAAAACGAATTTTTCTCCGACATTTTTACATGCTAAAGTCTTCTTGATACGTCTGCCTCTTAGTTGAGACATATTTCGAATTTAGTTTTGAAGGACCTTCGATTTTTTTTAGAAGTACAGAAAAAGGGTTAATGCACATCCATAAAATATGGCTAAATGCATCTTGGACTTAAATGTTCCAGCAAGAAGAATAATGCAGGAATTCTGTTCGATGATTAAACATAACTTTTCAGTACGTGAGAAACCAGTTATTTTATTTATTTTATTGAACCGGTCAATAATGGAAGCAAAATATACGCAGCAGTTGTTTTATATGAAACGTTGCATACCTTTAGGCGTTATCACCACGAACAACCCAAGTAACATTGCAGGTTTTATCGCGGTTTTATAGCATTCTACAAGTTTAAATCATGGTCTACAGAATCCTTCTTCTTCTTCTTCTTCGCATTTCAAGCTTATTGCATATCGCATATTAGCTTATTGCGTGCTCACAACTTAGTGTTCTAGATGCTCTTCCACAGTTATTAATTGAGAGCTTTCGATGCCTGTACCATTTTTGCATTGGTATAATTGTGTGGCAAGTCCAATCATACTTCTATGCCCAGAGAAGTCGAGAAATTTTCCAACCCGAAAAATTCCTAGACCGGACCGGGAATCGAACCCAGCCACCTCCAGCATGGTCTTGCTTTGTAGCTGCGCCTTTACCGACTGAGCTAAGGGAGGTCACTATACAGAATCAGAATCCTCATAAAACCAAAATTGATACTTGGGAATAATCCAGGACCAGTCTTGTAAGTGGTCACCGTAGTCGAAATATGTTCTGTGATAATCGACTGCCTTTGCTTCCGACACTTGCAAAACAAGCTATCAAATTACAGTACCAAACTAAAATGTCATATAACAGGCTCTGTCATACGACACCGTTGCCGAAGACCGTCACGAATGTATTTATTTAAATATAAGAGCTGCTGCTTGTGTGAATTCTGAAAAGAGCAAGCAACGATGTCCTAGTAATAACATTTCTGATCAGAAATGGTTTAATTTGCACCACATTGAGGAATTGGAACGAAATCACACATGTCATATGATAGTTATTTGAAAATTTTCTTTTTGCTCGAATGTTGTTCTACCGTTTGTGTTGTGTAAGAGAGACGATGGTAGAGCATGAGAGTATGAATAAAAACAGACTGTCACGCATGACAACGAATCGAGTGTCGTAAAAAAAACGTCAACAGTTTCAACCCCTGGACCAGGACCAAGAGTTCAAAGGTGATCCAATTATTAAACATTTATATTTTTCAATAAATTTTACATGGTTGATAGATGTATTGCAATGGATGGTTAGATAAAAGAATAAACAAAGTTTTTCTACAAATATAACTTAATTTAATTTAATTTAATTTTATGTAGATGAACGCGTCATTGGGACGGTACTTATGGATATTTTTGGTCGGTATTGAAAATTTAGTCGTTTGCTGAATTTATGTATGGGCCTAAATTAAGGGCATTTAGGCCGACTTTACATCCATTTCCCCTAATAGCTTAGTTTACAACTGTGGTCAAAAATGTTTAAAACATATTTTATCACAATATTTCTAATACTGAGTGTCAAAATCACATGTTTTGTAGTTCAACAATTGATCACTGATTAGCATATCACCATGATCGGTGAACAATGTTAATCTCCCACCCCGAGTTCAGATTGACTTTGATGACATTTAGGTGGTCGACGAGTTCGTGTGTTTGGGCTCACTGGCTACCGCCGAATATGATATTGATAAATTGAAAGACGCATTATGGCAGGGAATTTTGCCTACTTTGGACTCCGGAGGACGCTCCGATCGAATAAAATTAGTCACCTCACGAAGTTCACTATCTACAAGACGCTGATTAGACCGGTGGTCCTCTACGGCCACGAGACCTGCACACTTAGATTTTTTTGCCGAGTTGGGCACCACCGAGTAGCTCGACAATTTATGTTGCTGGATCTCAGTGGAAAACTTGCCGAGATTCAGCTAACGAACATAAACTTCACTGAGATCCACCATTATAACGACTTTCTTCCACCAGCAGGCCTGTTGCTCCCGTAGGCAGGACTGAGATCCATCAAAATAAAATGCCGAGCTGCTTGGTGGTGCCCAACTTGGCAAAAAATCTAAGTGTGTGGACTTTGCTCGTGGAGGACCAACCGAACGGAAGATGATGCGTACCATCTACGGTGGAGTGCAGCTGGATTGCGGAACGTGGAGGAGGCGAATGAACCACGAATTGCACCAGCTGCTGGGAGAACCATCCATCGTCCACACCGCAAAAATTGGATGACTACAGTGGGCTGGGCACGTCGTAAGAATGCCGCACGATGACCCAGTGTAAATGGTTGTCGAAAGCGACCCAACAGGAATAAGAAGACCTGCGGACCCTTCGCAGACTACGAGGCTGGCGACGTGTGGCCATGGATCTAGTAGAGAGGTGGACATCAAGGCCTTAGCCTGATTGGTAAGTATGATCGGTGAACGTCATGGTCGTGGATATATGCTGTACAATAAACAATGTGAAGTGTGCAACAATTGGCAAATTACCCTACTTGTTCTTCTCACAAGAAGCCTCATGCAATTGTGATGTTCCGTATCATTTGAAAAATTCTGGAACCTCTCCAAATACGCGTCTTCTCACCAATCACAATAGGTTTTCTTAGTGACAAAAAACAAGCGATGATACTGATATACGACCATGCATCACCATTGTTAACGTATAATAAACAATATGATATATCTTTCTGGTTCCGCTTACTAGGGGCACGATGGTACATTCAAACCTGCGTCCAAATTAACTTTTGTTTACGTTTCAGCCGTTTGGTGATGATGTGGGTTGGCTGTAGCTTAAAACCTCGGGGATGGATCCGGATATCACCAATATCATCGTGAGACACTCGATCTGTCCATTTCGGTCAGGATCTGAGTGCCCTGGACCACATTGGCCATATCTGGACATGTTCCCATTGCCCCCCGCCGAAGGACCAGTTTCTAGCTTGGGTCAAAATTCATCATGCGCCACCATAAATTACATGAGAATACGAAAACAAGATCAATGGTAGATTTACTGAGTGTCCAGGACCACATTGGTCGCATCTTGTGGTGCCTTGCTAATGAGAACATGTATTGAACGTGTGTATCGTTGGTAGCTGTTTTGACGCACGGCAAATCAAACAATATTATTCAACGCGTGTACCACATCAGTCCCCCAACAAATATGAACACTTTCCTTTGATTGATACGGATACGATAACTGATTCAAAGTTGTTTCATACTTCTGGGGTTGCATATAACTCCAAACTTGCCTTACTTCTTAATCAAGTAAGAAGGGTCCGATCTCACCATACGTGGATACATTCAGTTTTTTTTTAACTAAACAATGTTTTGCAATGACAGCTAAATTTCTTGATGAAATGAATTCATTTATTGATCAAATGAATTGATGATAGTATTTCAAAATTGCTTGAACTCCATGCAAACTAATAACTAGAACCTAGTGGGCATTCAAAACTATCAGGGAAAGCAAACATAATGTTTCTTTAAAAAAAAAATCCGTGGGTAAAAAAAATATAATTTTGGAATCATTTATTGCCATTTACAGCTGCTCCTAATATTTATTTTTCTTTTCAACTGAACAATGAATTCCAGAACGGGAGAAATGGGTTTTTTGATTAAAATGCTTTAAATTTGAACATTCTATGTGTGCAACTGCCATTCCAAACTCGCCTGCAAAAGCATCCATTGAACTGAAGACACATCGTGACACTTACTCTCAACAGATACATGTGTGAAGGCACAATAAAAATCTGTTCAAAAGTTTGTTCATTTTAATTATTGTACTGTCATCGGGTATATTTTATTTGTCTAATGCAACTATCGAAATGGAGTTGATCAGTTGTGAATTTCTAACAAGATGCACATATTTCTGACATGGAGACGCACGGTTGTTCAGTACGTTTGAACAACCGTGCATCATTGATAAACTGCCCAGTCGGACTCACCTCATCTTTCTCCCTGGCGATCGTCGTCATCGAGTTGCGGTAGATGTTCGGACAGGACGACGCCTTCAGCCGGTAGCGGGGCGTGTTCAGCAGCGCTCCTCGGTAGTGAATCGAATTCCGGTGCACTCGCATACCCTTCAGGAAGTGGGAATAGCGCAGTGAGTGATTGTGCACATTACCTCGTTTGAGACCTCCTTTTCTCTCTTTCGGTTTCATCGTTTCCTGTTTGGGGACCACCAGCGTGACTGTGGTGTTAACGTTCGGGTTGAAAATTTCATTCTCGTAGACCACGTCCAGCGAGGTTCCACGGAACGACCGTTGATTCTCTTCGTCCTGGTTGTTCTTCAGGGCTAGGCATGTTTCGTCTAGGGACCAGGTGCTTCCTCCTCCGCGGGATTGCAGTTCTTTCTGGCGTTGGCAGCTGAGGTAGCCTTCGTCTAGGGAAGTGACACTGAGGGTTTGAAGCGAGGCTTTGAGACCGAGACTTCCGTTTTCACCATAACCGGTACTGGATACCTTCTCGTACGTGTTGAGCGATTCTGAACTGGCGAGCTTAGCGTTAGGGGTTTTCGAATCTTGGACGGGAGATAGTTCTTCCTCGAGTGGTCGGAAGGAATGGTTCGCGAGCATAGCTTGCCGTAGGGAACGTCGACTTCCGGTCAGGGGTTGAGCGATGTCGTGATCTTTGATGAACGTTGGCAGTGTTAGTTCACTTTGATACTTTTTGGCGCTTGCCGGATCATCCGGTGGGATAGTTTGGTTCGCTTCGGTGTTTACGTTGGTGACCAGGGTATCCAGGAGGTGTTCTTTCGCAACGCCCGTTTCGAGCAGTTTCTTGATTTCGTCCAGACAGACACTGGAGTTGGAGAAGGTTTGGATACTTTGCGATCGGCTTTCCAGTTTGTTTTCCTCAATCATCCAATCAGGATCGCGCATCAGGGCACCCATAACGACAATGTTGAAGAGAGTGCCGGCGAGGATCAACGTGGTGCCACGCCAGCCGAAGGTTTCTATCAGATATTGCGTGAGGGGAGCATATAGGAACGTACCGATACCGGTACCGGAGGCTCCAATTCCAGTGGCAAATGTTCGCTTCTTGTCGAACCAGAAAGCGATCGAGACGACTACGGTGACGTATCCGACGCCCAGGCCCAACCCGGATAAAATTCCGAAGGAGAAAAAGAGCTGTTCCACCGATTGACAATACGATGAAATAGCGAAACCGATCGTAGCAATCGTTCCTCCTATCATGGTCATCTTGCGGCACCCGTATCGATCTACCAGGCTGGACATGATGGGACCAACCAGTAAAGGCACAGCAATGAACAACGATCCGATCCAGGCGGTTTTTGACTTGGACTCCCCAAAGTAAGCCAACAGCTCGGTGTAGATTAGCCCGAACGAGAACGATACACCGTCCATGATGAGTGAAACCATTAGCGACGAAAACACCACCACCCAGCCATAGCCACCATCCGGGATCTTCGGTTTAGGCTTCCGCAGCGGTTCGTTGAACGACGAGAGAATGGAGTCTGCCTCCGAAAGTTCGGAGTTTAGGCGGTGTTTTCTCCGATTGGGATCAACTACCGTCAGCTGGGATATGCCCCGATGATCGTCGTCGTCGTCATACTCGTCATCCGAAAGGTTGCTGAACGTGACTTCATTTGCGTTGAGCAGGGTCGTTTTAATTGCTTCTAGTTGCTCTTTTCCGAAACGAGTGTTTTTGTCGTTGTTATTGTTATTGTTGTTGTTGTAGTTGTTGTAGTTGTAGTTGTTATTATTAAGCTGAGTGTCCGTGTTGTTTCGGAGGATGTGGCACTCGTTATTGGGGTCAGTGATTTGAATTTCGACGACCATTTTGACGCTATTTAAAAACCAGTGCTGTCTGATTACAACGGAGGAGAAAGCAGAAAGATATTCGTACAATTTATCACAGACAGCTTTCGCTTTTGCTTTATAATCGACCTCGTAGGAGTTGACGTGTGACCTTCAGGTGTGATTGGCGTGTGCCGCTCTGTCTGTGCCGTGTGTTGGTCGTTTTGCAGGGAATAATTCAGATCTATTAATAATCACTGAACGCCCGATCAGGATGGGCAACTGGTTGACTGCGTTACCTATTAGAAAAGCTTCCAAATATCAATGGCTATCCCACGTTGCTGACAATTGGCAAAGCACATCTAGACTTTGATTGCGCGCGTGGATTACTCCGTACGAAGTGTGCAGTAATAATGCAATAATGCAATTCGTAGCAGCAAAACAAGGGCGGCGCGTCAGCAGACGACGCACCTGCGCTGCGATTGTGTCCAAAGCTCTCTAAGATCAAAACCGTCCTCGTTCTCGTAAAGCAGATTCAAAACGTTCTCAACGGACGCGATCTTCCGTTGCGACTAACGGTCCCAGGAAGGCGACGACGATGGCGTGCTTCTGCTTGGTTTATTGCTTTTTCGCTCGCTACAGATATTTACGGTTGTAATTGACTTTTGTTTTGAACTGCGCAATACACAAACACAGCTGCACCGGACGTCGAGGATCGTACTGCTGACGCTTACTTTGTAGATCGAGTCACGCGCACGGTTATGCTCCTATCTGGTCTACACGGCAACGGTGCGAATGGTTCTCTGGCGGGTGGTGGTGTTGTTCATCCGTATTAACGTCGATAAATTACTCTGCGTCGATCTAAGACGAGGGTCCTTTGGGGAGTAACGTTGACAGTTGCTCACTTGGCTGGGAAAGTCTTTTGTCCGGGTGTGATACATAGGTCCCGCGAATAGCAGATTCAAATCGGTTAGCACTGGTTTACTTCTCATCAAGCCGGTTACACGCCGGATTGGCGAACACACTATTTTCGTTAGTCGGTGTATAACACGCACACGCGAGTCAATGTTTTTCCTTGACCCGAAGGGATTATTAAGGAGCCTAATCACTCCGCAACAGAAGCACTTTTTTCACTCACTCAGACGAATACCTCTTAGCTCACGGTTGCACGATCATCAGTCGTGTCAGGCTTTTCTTCCTGCGAGGCCCACCCACATTTTTCCAGAATTACGACACTCACTCAAGTTGCCCACAAGCTATCGTATCGAATCACTTCTGAAGAGTCCACAACTGATCCCTTTTTGGACTACCACGTCGCGCGGCTGCAACCGAATGAATAACACTTCTCAGCTTTGGCTGTTCAATAATATCCCGATAGTGACGCGCACCTCGCTGCAGCACTTACCGCAGTTGATTGAATTTATTTTTAACGGAATCTGCTTTGGTTGCGCTTGGCTCAGCTGTTCTGTTCCGTTCTGCTCGATACGGGTGGCGTTCAGTGGGGGGAAATGCTGCGATCAACTGCGTTGACGTCCAAGGTACCGTAGTGTTTGGGTTGTTATTTTGCGAATTGAGAGGGAGCGTTGATCCGAAAATAGATTCGCTGAAATGGAAAGAAAAACACAAATTAGAGTGCTATTATTGGCGTACGGGGCGTGTAAACAAAATTTCGGCTCCCCAAGACGTGGATGCACGCCCTTTGGACATTAATTGGATTATCGCTGTTCCGGGGCCAACACCTTCAAGGTTGGTAATTACATGCCTTCTGACGGTAATGAGCTTCACTTATTTTTGAATTAAAATTCCATTTTTAGTGATTTGGTCGCGCTGCAGTAATGACCCGATTTTGCGCATCATACTTTTATCTTTCAATAATTTTACATAACCGTAATTCCAAATGTTCAAGATGTATAAGGTAATGCAATATGATGCAATAAGACTGCTAGGCGCATGGGTTTCGTAGAACATTATAAAAGATTTACAAAAATAGAGCTGGCAAAATCGGGTAATTACTGTATCTGCAATCAAAAACACATTTATGGGATGAGATATTTAAATAATAGCATCTACATAGGTTCGAATAAGATTCAATGCCAATGCCAAATCCCAATTAATTTCGGTATTTGATTCCGGCTCGTGCAATCTCTATACATATTTTGGTTTATGACCTACAAATTATCTCTTAAAGTCCACAGCAATGTTATTCTTACCCTGGCTGATTAGTGGTGGCTTACTGTCCAAAAAATGGGGCTGTGAGATAAGCAACACTTTGCGAATTGCGTCTTACGTTACACGTGATTTGAGTTGAGCTTTCCGTGAACCGTTAAATTTGTTAGCGCATTTTAAATAAATTTATGGCCGTCACCTGAAATCCCCATTTACAAAATGGGACATTTATTTCAGTTGTTTATTTAGGTGCATGGAACAGAACCAAGTACAGAAATCCCTCGAAGTGGTGCCGTTCATCCACTGCTACTTCACGAATGTTTATTTGAGCTGAATTTTTGTATGATATTAAATAGTGTATAGTAAATAGTGGCAGCCGCGAAAAAGCGAAGGATGGACGGGTCGAAATCTTCAAATGCATATATCTCCGAAAGTAAAGTCTAAATCGTGATTTTAGGGGTGTTTGGATGATCGAAATCATTAAAAGCATTTATCTCTGTAAATAGTGCATTTTAGGGGAGCTTGGAAGTTCGAAATCTGGAAATGTATTTATTTGCATAAATAAGGCCTAAATCGCGGTTTTGAGCTATTTCGTTTTTCGATTCTGTGTTCCATTTCGCCTCGTCCCATTTCTAAAGTAACATTTGAAATGGGCCTATTTCCAAAAAGTAAACAAACCAGAAAATGAATTTTAAATTTTGATAGTGGCGGTCATTTTCATTTATATTTAAGAAAATTGAAGTATTTTAGGCATTTATATTGTTCACAATAACAATAGTAACTTTATCTCAGTAAACAACATCCAAAATATACGAAAAGCTTTCAAAAATATATGAAAATCGATAACAATATAATTTCATAAATTAATAAGCCTTTTTTGTGAATCTTTCAATAAATAGGCCCGTTTTGTTAAGCCGTTGTGCTTGTCATCAGAAATGGTAGGCCCTTTGCAAAGCCTTTTCGCAACGTCAAATAAATTTAAAACAAATCATCGGTCCTGCCTCAAGCAGTACCCAACAAACAATTTTAGCTGTAGATTAGCTTATACAGCCAAAATTTGCCTTATGCAGCTAATTTTTGCCTGTATAAGCTAAGCTGCAGCTAAAATTGTTTGTTGGGTAGGGCCATAGAGGTAACTCTAAGACTAAAGACTGGACTCGGAAAAAAATGAGACACACAAAAATGATCACCAAAAATTCATTTTAAATCGGATACTTCTCAAATTTTCAGGGTCCCGACATAACGTGCTCAACTTTTTGGCTCAGCTCTGGTACTCTGTTAGGTCCCAAGCTAATCGATTCACCCCTCGAAAATCCACTAACCCCTCATTTTATCTGTCAAACTTTCATAGCGAATCAAAACAAACATTGCGTAGTACTAGAATTACGATTAGAATGGGGTACGTTAATCGTTTGCTTGGGACTAATAGGCTAGTCAATTAGTGAGCCAATTTTAAATCGTTAGTTTCGTATTGATTGTTGGTAGGGCCTAGCTTTGGTTTGAAATTTTTCAATCATCGACCCTTCTACGTCACTAGGCTTATCAATTAAATGAAATAAATGCATGGTTGGCCGTTTGAGCGTACGGGTCTATTAATGAATCGAAAAATTTCGTTGATCGGCCGTTTCGAAAATCGAGTTATTTTTAATGATTTTTCTCGATTATGCGGAACTTTCCTACACGATTAGTAGCTATCAAGCGGTGCTAGAGAATGGTATCAAAACCCGATTTGTTCACGTTTTAGACATAGGCCCGTTTCAAATGTTACTCTAGATTTCGTTTTTCTCCATTCCATATCCAGCTTTCCATGCTCGGTAATGGCGGCCTGTTTGTATGAATAAATGTATCCTTCACTGTGTTATCTGGAGGTTCGGATTTTGACCTCTTCCTTTCCCTCTCCCAGGAACAGAAGAAAATGAAACAACATACGCCCTCCAGTTAGTGTCAAAAAGCACAGTGAAGGATACATTTATTGATACAAACAGGCCGCCATTACCGAGCATGGAAAGCTGGATAGCTTTTTGACGTTTAATCGGCGCACACTACTGTACCATTTAAAGCGAACGAGTACAAGCAAGAACGAAACAGATTAGTGGGAAAACAAACCGTCCATTCATCCATGTGTGCTAGATAGAGAAAGATGATTAAACGTCAATAAGGTCTATGCGCTAAATAACGTTTGACTAACTTTTGACTGAACGGTGTGCAGATTAGCGAGTTTCAAACTAAAAAGTGTTCAAATTAATAACGGTCAGCTATACTATATAGCTATAATTGAAAAAATCCGTTTTTCACACTTAACTTATCAGAAAAAATTATGAGTTTTTAGCAAATTTGGTAATTCAACAAAATTTGAAACATTGTTGAAGAATCCACGCTTCGCTTTAAAGATATTGAAGAGATGAACTAGCCTATGGCTAAAAATCTCTATAATAAAGTAACAAAAAAAAAAAATTTAAAGATATTGAACAAAAACTATGAAATTCAACACATCTTTCAAAAACTATATCTACGATATTGCATAATATGATAATTTCTTGAAGTACATTCTAAATATTTTTTTGCAGTAATGAATATTTTTCAAATTTTATATTTTTAAAACAAGTACTGAGGATCCAAGAGTTAATTCATTCGTAATTTTTTTTAACGGGAATTAAAGCATTTGCACTATTTTTTTTTAGTTTTGTGACCAAACATCAGTATTTTGATTTGGGGTTACTTTGATAATGCACGATGAATGTAGAAAAAAATGCCTGAAACGCAAACATTTTAGCTCTTTAAATATGGAACTTTGAATGAGCATATAATCAGAAAATATCATAGGCAATGAGATTACAACATTGAATTTGTGATGGCTATATCGGAAATACATTTCATAAGTGATGGTTTGAGTGCTTTTTCAAACAGGCGAAAAATATGAAAATTGTTTTTTAATATGTTTGTAAAATATGTAACACATACTATACACAGCAAAAAATAAATTTTAATATTACATCCAAGAGGATGCACTTCAATCATGTCGAAAATCTCATGTAATTTTTATGGCCACACAAATAAACAAATGCAGTAAAAGCAGCGTAATGTCAGTTCATGCACTGTATTAAAGATAATTTTGTCCTTTTTGGCCATATTTCTGACACGATTGAAGTACATCCACTTTGATGTGAAATTAAAATTAATTTTTTGCTATGTATAAAAACTACATACAATATCAACGGAAACACCCTAAGCTACAATATGTAACCAATATTTTTAATTCAGAAAAAGCGCAGCGAGTAAATTTAATCTTTATATTATACTATCAAAGTTACCCGCATTATCAAAGATACCCCGTTTTACGGTACACTTGAATTATCATGGTTGATTAAAATATTATAAAATATATAGACGACATTTTAGGCCGTAACTCCTTGGAGCGTTTGATTCGTTATTAATTTTGTGAAATTCAAGTTCTTTTTAGAATCAATACAATTTTTGTACTATTTTACTTTAGATTTTATTTAAAAGCAGTGATCTAAGATGAGTTTGGTGAATCACCAACTCGAACTTGCCCTAGAACTATATTATGATAATTTTCTTCTAGAACCTTGAGAAAATAGGGTTTAATAGAATGATCCTTGGAATAACATCTTGTTTTCAAATAGTGTGAAAATAATCCTTGGATTACTCCTGGAAAAATCGCGCATTGTCCGAGGGGGGCGACACATCCAAATCTCAATTTTAGATGCTCAAAAAATCTCACACTAGCGAATCAATCTTCGAAAAATCTTCTTGTATTTCTCGCATATACTTGCATCGCGCATCATTTTTTGCAGGAAATCTTCAGAATCGTCATCAATATTTTTCTATCTACTCAGCGTGCGAGCAGCTAGCCACAGCACAACATAATATTTCCTGCAGCGTAGATATTTAGAGTCGTCCCCCTCGGCATTGTCCGGAGGCCAAAAGCGACTTGGGGGTTAATCAATGGGGCTTGTTTAATCAAACCATTTCAAACGTTATGTCAGTATTATTCGGAATCTGCTGCCGATATTTCAGCACGAGCAAGGGCGTAGCCAGGTTTCGAGCTAGGGAGGGGCGAAAAAAAAAATTACCATGGAAAATTTGGCCGAATGCCATTTCACCGAACGCCATTTCCTCGAAAGCCTTTGTGTTGCCGAGTTTAGGGGGGGGCAGTCGCCCCCCTGCCCCTATCTGGCTACGCCTATGAGCACGAGCCTTGCCTAAAGCCCTACAGTAAAAGTATGGACGTATGTCAAAAGTTGTTCCAATCGAACCGTCAAAATGCAGCGCTCGATTGGATGCTCTCGATTGGAGCAGCTTTTTTCAGTTTTGTGGTGACAGTCGTCGATACATTAACTAAAGGGCTTTAGCCTTGCCTGGATTTCGACTTTTGTGTTCGTCTTATTATCTACCTCGTTCTCTGTATTTATGAGC